AATGGCCCAGGCCCCGCCCCCCGCCATTCCCCCTCTCTTCCCCTCCTTTTCTCCCGCTCCCGGAGCCGCCCCAAGCGTAAGCATGCCTCCGCTAATGGCGAAGGCCCGATGCCCGCCCTTCCCCCTTTCTTTCCCCGTCTATCTTCCGCTCCTGGAGCCATCCCAAGCGTGAGCATGCCTCCGCTAATGGCGCAGGCCCCGACGCCCGCCATTCCCCCTCTCTTCCCCGCCTTTTCTCCCGCTCCCGGAGCCGCCCCAAGCGTAAGCATGCCTCCGCTAATGGCGCAGGCCCCGACGCCCGCCATTCCCCCTCTCTTCCCCGCCTTTTCTCCCGCTCCCGGAGCCGCCCCAAGCGTAAGCATGCCTCCGCTAATGGCGCAGGCCCCGACGCCCGCCATTCCCCCTCTCTTCCCCGCCTTTTCTCCCGCTCCCGGAGCCGCCCCAAGCGTAAGCATGCCTCCGCTAATGGCGCAGGCCCCGACGCCCGCCATTCCCCCTCTCTTTCCCCCTCTTTCTTGAGCTATCACTCCCGGAGCCGTCCCAAGCGTGAGCATGCCTCCGTAAGCAGTTCCAGCAGCTATCCTTCCTCCTCCCCCACGCATGCTTGCCCTTCCTTCTCTCTATCTTCCGCCATGCCCCTACCCATCCCTCCAAACACTCTCGCCTTGGAACCACCCCCCCGTAGCCAGCAACATCAGGACACAGATTTTTTCAGAAGCCAGAGGCCTTCAAGACCTACGTGCAGTCAGACCGCTTCCATATCAAAGAAGCTCACCGAATCCTCATATTTCCCCACTGCCGCAGCAGTGCCCGCTCCCGCAGGAGCTCTTCCATGTTTCCCCTCCGCCGCAGTAGCTTTTTCATACTTCCCCGCTGCCGCAGCAGTTCCCGCTCCCGCAGGAGCTTTTCCATACTTCCCCACTGCCGCAGCAGTTCCCACTCCTGCAGGAGTCTCTCCCGTATTTCCCCACTGCCTCAGCAGTGCCCGCTCCCGCCTTACCTAATTCCCACACTGCTACAGCAGTGCCCGCTCCCGCAGGAGCCTTTGAACCCACTCCCACAGGAGTTTTCTTTTCAGATGCCGCAGCAGCGGCTGCTTCCACAGAAGCCACTTTCTCTTTTCAGATGCCGCGGCAGCTTCCGCAGAAGCCACTTTCTCTTTTCAGATGCCCTGTCCCGTACTTATTGCATCTTTGGGGGAGCGCTCTGGGTCCGGGCTTAGACCCGAGCTCGGACCCCTCTCCCTGGACGGGGGGAGTACCCCGGGCTCGAGAGTAATGACCGAGCTCGGAGCCCTCTCCCCGGACAGCACGCCAAATACGCATAACCTTTACTCTGTTCATTATATGTAAGTGTGAACTCGTGAAAAGAATATACTTACTGTGAGTGCAAACTGAATGTAATGTTTCTGGATGCTTAATTGCATTTAATTACAATACATTTAAGTACTAAGTAATATTAATTGACTTGTGTACTTTATATATGGTTAGGATTAGGGTTTGGCTTAGGGTTACTTGCATGCAATTATGCATAATTAATTGTTATTATAATAGTACGTACATGTAACATGTGTAACAAGGACACCTTAAAATAAAGTGTTACCAAAATGTATTTGTTTAAATTCAAATTAAATGCAGTAAGTGTTTTTTGACCCACTTAAGTTGGACTTAAATACATCTTTATATGTATTTTTATAATTAGCTCTATTGTCTTTGAAATGGTTAAGGTGTACTACTGGATGTACACACACAAGCATTTACGGTAAACTATATTGAAATGTATTTGTAATTACACATTTACACATTTGAAGTTGCAATTTAGTACATTTATAATATATTAGCTTTAAATGTAATATTGAATAACAAACTACAAATTATAATGAAGTACTTCACGTGTTTTAGTATGTTAGTCAACATATCAAAATAAGCGTACTACTGTAATAAATGACAAAAGATGATTAAAACATAATGATTTAAAATGGACTTTAAAGTAAATCTTTTCATTTAAAATTATTACAAAGTGCATTTTTTAAAGTGTACTTAAATGTGTTATAAAGCAACATACTCAGGTGTCTCATTTTCATTAATGGTGTAGTTGTGTGTCACAGTCTATGCTGTCTAGACTGCTCTTCTCTAAATTATGTGTGTGTTTTTGCTCTTTTTAAGCTGTAAAGAGTTTAAGAATTTGAACTCATTCTTTGCCATTATCATGGGCCTGGGAAACCCTGCGGTCTGTCGACTCAGTCACACATGGGAGGTGAGTATTCAACACACTCACTCACTCACTCACTCACTCACTCACTCACACACACACACACACACACGTACCCGCACTCTTGTACTCCGCTGACAGTCTTCCCTGGAGAGATGGACAGCAGTCAAGAAGATCTTGCTTGAACTTGTGACTGAGATATTATATATTATACACACACACAAAGACAGAAAACTGATACTGTCATGCCTGACTGCTTAGTTCCATGTTTAACACTGATTCTCTGATATGCTTTTTCACAGAAACTGCCCAGCAAGTTCAAGAAGTTTTATGGAGAGTTTGAAAACCTGATGGTGAGTTCAGCATGGTAGTTCAACTGCTAGTGACCTAAACATGTCACCTAACATGAAAGCTACTTAAAGAGGATTTCAGAGATCTGTTGTCTTTCTCATTGCAGGATCCCTCCAGAAATCACAGAGCGTATCGACTTACAGTGGCCAAGTTAGAGCCACCTATCATTCCCTTCATGCCTTTGTTAATTAAAGGTGAGCGCTGCTCTGAAATCACACACACACACACACACACACACCGGTTAAATGCTGCTTTATTAGTAGCATTTTCCATATTTTTTAATAATATTAAAGTCAGAAAAACTAAAAATATTACAGATGGAAGTATAGGAACTGCTCCAGTACTGTATATTTTAAATTCTAAGTTTCATGAAGGAATTCATACAGATCACTATATATATTTGTCTACAAAAATGTGTAATGAATTAAAACAACACGTGACATACCTAAATGTTCTTTATTAGTAGTATTCTCCACATTTTTTACTTTTTTTTTTTTTTTGCTAAATGTTCTTTATTAGTAGTATTCTCCACATTTTTTACTTTTTTTTTTTTTTTTGTATTAATTTATAAAAAAAAACATGTTAAATTCATTAATTGTAAGACATCTATATGGTCTTATTAGTAGCATTGTCCACATTTTAATTCATTTTAATTCATAAATGAATTCATTAATAAAAACATGTTTTATTAATTAATGGTTAAATTTCAGTTTTGGTCAAAATGTAAATGTATTTAATAAATCAAATAATACTATAATGATTGTATATGTTTTAAATTTTTTTTAAATAATTTAAAATGTAACTTATTTTGTAAGGTTCATTTTAATAATTATTCAAAAAAATATTTGTAAATAATATTCTGATATATAATAAAATATTATATATAATAAATAATGCATCTATTTATATGCATATGTCAATTTAAGACAATAATAATGATTAATCCTCAACATAACAATTACGTTATTAAAAATGCTATATTAAGTATACAACAAAATTAGCCACAATAAATGAAATACAACTCATACATTTTACTATTCTGTACATTTGGATATTTATTCACACATAATTCATGCAGTATGTGCACAATCAAAGCAAGGAGAAACTAATAGCAAGTTACAGTAACTGCAATAATCTGATGAAGTCAAGAGTCAAAGTTCTCATTTAATGGAAGCCACAAAATGTTGTGAAGAACTGTTTCATGACACAGAGATGCAGGTTTTAGCATTGCTTAAACGTCCACTTCTGCGCTTTCAGACATGACGTTCACACACGAAGGTAACAAGACGTTTACTGACAGATTGGTGAACTTTGAGAAGGTGGTGAGTTTGCAAGGGACCTATCTCACCATCTCTGAGACCGTTTTAAATGGGACTTGTTTAATATGTCTTGTGTGCTTTCCAGAGAATGATCGCAAACACAGTCAGAATCATGAGATACTGCCGGAGTCAGCCATTCAGTAAGACACCAACATAAACTTCACATCAGACTCATGTTTGAGTTCATCTGATTCAGCGTTTCTCTCGCTTTCACCCCTGCAGATCAAGAAGCACCGCAGGCGACTGGTAAAAGCCATCAGGATGTGCGGAGCTACATGCGTCACATTAGCGTGATTGACAACCAGCGTACCCTGTCCCAGCTGTCCCACAGACTGGAGCCGCACCGGACCTGATCCGCTCCCGTCAGTGCTGCTTCACCTCTGCCAGTCAATAAGCTAGAGCTGTACATGAACAGAAGCCTTCCTCCACTGCAGCGTATGCACACACAAGGGCTTTCCCTTTTTTTGGCTGCTTGTGCGAAAGCGTGGCTTCATTTCAGTGTACGGCTGTGGATGTTCAGAGCTCTGTTTGTGACCTTTCTTATATTCTGCCACGGATCAGATGTTCCCCTTGCTTTTGAAGGACATTCTGAGCTTACTGAGTTTGCTGACCTTAAAAATACAGTTTAAAAATTTTGGGTTAGTATGGTTTTTTTTTTTTGTTGTTTTTTTTTTTAAGAAATTAATACTCCGCAAGGATGCATCAAATTGATGAAAAGTGACAGTAAAGACATTTATAATGTTACAAAAGATTTCAAATAAATGCTGTTCTTTTGAACTTTGTATTCATCAAATAATCCTAAAAATATATCACAGTCTCCACAAAAAACAAACTAAAACACACCCACACACAAATATATACTGTGTATATATTAGTGCTGTCAAACGATTAATCGCATCCAAAATAAGTTTTTGTTTACATAATGTGTGTGCTGTGTATATTTATTATGTATATATAAATACACACACATGCATGTATATATTTAAGAAAAATGTTAAATTTATATATTAAATATGTTTATATATGATGTCAATTATATAAATATAAATAAATACATGTAAATATTTCCAATATATACGCTGTATGTGTTTGTATTTATATAAGCATAATAAATATACACAGAACACACACATATGTTATGCAAACAAACACTTATTTTGGATGCGATTAATCGTTTGACAGCACTAATATATATATATATTATTTTTAATTTATAAATTTTTTATAATAGAAGGATCGTGTGAATAAATAAATAAATGCAGTCTTGGTAAGCATAAGAAACTTCTTTCAAAAACATAAAAAAATATTACTCCAAACTTTTGAATGATAGTGTTTATCAATCATCTCAAAGCATTTCGAATTTCATTTCTACTTGTTTCTTAAGATTATGATTTATGGAAGTTTTGGACTGGATGTAAATTTTATCAAGATATTTATATCCATGAAAAAGAAAAAAAAAAACTAAATGGTGAAATGAGAAATTATGAGCACATTTCAAAAGCCTGTTGTTGGCTTGTCTGCAAACTTTATGCCTCTGTGTGTCTTGTGTGAATAAAACCGTCGTAAGATGACACGTTACAGACATGTCAATGTCTTTTTTTTTTTTATTCGTAATTATGTATTGTCCTTTTCAATTTGTCTCAGTTGATTTCATATAGTTTACAGCTTAAGAACAAATTTTCTTTAGTAAGCAGGTCCCAAAAACTGTTATCGCATGCTCAGAATATATATTATATTATATTATTATATGTGACTCTGGAGCACAAAAGCAGTCTTAAGTCGCTGGGGTATATTTGTAGCAATAGCCAACAATACATTGTATGGTCAAAATTATTGATTTTTCTTTTATGCCAAAAATCATTAGGATATTAAGTAAAGATCATGTTCCATGAAGATATTTTGTAAATGTTCTACCGTAAATATATCAAAACGTAATTTCTGATTAGTAATATGCATTGCTAAGAACTTCATTTGGACAACTTTAAAGGCGATTTTCTCAATATTTAGATTTTTTTTGCACCCTCAGATTCCAGATTTTCAAATAGTTGTATCTCGGCCAAATATTGTCCTATCCTAACAAACCATACATCAATGGAAAGCTTATTTATTCAAGATGATGCACAATTTCAAAAACTGCACCCTTATGACTAATTTTGTGGTCCAGGGTCACATATTATAAAATTAATACATTTTGATTATGTACACATTTTCAAATTGATTTTAATATATGATAATATGTTATAATAAATCACTATAATGATTGTGAATGCATATTTAAAAAATAGCGTTTATTTGAATTGTGTTCAACTGAATACGTTTATAATTCTTATATGATTAATATTTTACGTGTAATTTTTAAAATATAATTTAAAAACAATGACCACAATGGATTTGTTTTAAATGTTCTTTATTTATTAAATTATAAAAGATTCTTTCTTAAATCACACCCTTTTTAATGCATGGTGTGCAGGATTCAGAACTATTGGGGTTTAGGGTGGTTTGTGTTGCGTCCGCTGGGTGTCGCTGTTTCTCTCCCGCTCCGCTGCGTCACTCACAGCGCAGTTCTGATGTTAGCAGCTCTGATCAGGAAGAAGTTGTTACACGTGAAAACACCGCAGCGGACGCTGCAAACATCTCGGTCACAAGTTCAGCCAAGATCTTCTTGACTGCTGTCCATCTCTCCTGGGAAGACTGGCAGCGGAGTACAGGAGTGCGGGTACGTGTGTGTGTCTGTGTGTGTGTGTGTGTGGGACCATCTCGCATGACACAGGCAGGGAGAGTTTCTGATGAAATACTCCGGAAATTGTCACTTATTAATAATGAACTATTCTATATGCTTTTCTAAAGTCTTAAAGTCAAATAAATTAAAAGCAGGTGTGGTGTAAGATCCAGGATTGCTATTATATAGAGAAGAGTTCATATAGTTGCCTACATTTCATATAACTGTTAGTGTTTGCAACAATTATCATGTGCACTGATGGCATCAGATCGTACTTTGATATTCATGTTTTGCTTCAAACAAGTTGTGCATGTTCTTACATGGTAATTATAATGTAATAATGTGTTTATGATTTGTAAGAAAGGGGAGTAGGCTTGTGACATCATGTTATATTGTTTCAGTAAACTGAAGATGGGTTTTGGTTGAAGAATTGTATTGAAATTATGTGAAAATCATTCTGCTGTGCGCTGCATGCTGCATTGTGTGGAGAGCTGTATGAACACACAGGCCTTCAGTCCCGGATGAATGAGAAAAATCCCAATTATTCTGCCACTTTTACTTTCTGTCCCAGTGCCGACTGCAGAGACCATGTGCTGAGATATGAATGGAGGAAAGCTGCTGTCATCCTATTGGCTCATAATTCAGTCAGGAAATACTACAATAGAGTGCAGAGAAGAATCACCTTAAAAATGCGTAAAAATGCACGAATGTCATTGCATTACATACAAAATATCAAAGCAAATGTCATTTATTTAAAAAAAAAAGATAAACTGATGAACTGATACACTAAAAAGTCCACTAAAAAAATGAGGAAGGGACATTAGTGAAGATTCTAAAATTCTAAAAGTTTAGTTTTTTTTATAAAGTAGTTGCAGAGAATATAATATTATAATGAAATAAAAGACAACTGTACTTACTGTACTTAAAGAGAGACACTTTCATGACACACGTAAGTAGACTTTGTAATAATGTCAAATTAAATGTTATACTTTAAAGTTAAAATATTAAGTGCTTTAAAGAAAAGTGTACACATTTGGTGTGTTGACTAACAAAGCATGTAAAGTACTTGATTATAATTTTAACTGTAATTGATATTACATTTAAAGTTAATATGTTTTAAATGTACTAAATGGCAACTTCATCATTACAAATGTGTAATTACAAACATTTCAATAGAAATGTCATTAAGGTATATTTGAGGTTTTTAGCTGAATTTTACAGTACATTCAGCAATCCACTTTAACCATTATTTCAAAGACAATCGAATTCTGAATTTGCATATAAATATTTACTTACGACCGGTCTAAAAAAACTAAAGTTTAGCTAAATGCATTTAATATAAACTGAAATTATAATACATTTAAAATTTTTTTTTTTTCAATTGACATGCCAACAATTAAGTGTCCAAAAACCTAACATGTAATTCACACTTAAGCATATTCCTTTTAGATATAATATTGCTACTAAGCACTCTTTTTAAAAGTATGATAAAGTCTACTTCTTTTTCACGGGCAGAGAAAAGCTCATGCAGCATTTAATGACACTTGAATTAATATTTTGTATCTTATTCAATGACATTCCAAACGATTTTGGAGCCTCTGTATTTATAAAGATGTGACAGTGTTGCTCTTAAGGTAAATAATCCACTAGAGTCTCTTTCTTGTTCATGTGTGTGTGTGGATGTAAGGCACCAGGGTGTCAATCCGCTTCCTGCATTGCTAAATATAACATAAATCAGCCCAAACCGCCCAAGAGCCGTGGAGTCGCTCTGTGAGAATAGAGCTGGAGCCCACTGCGCACCCCAGCAGAAACATTAACAAAAAACATAATTACTCCAGTGAAAATGAGGAAAATAACCAACAATACACCAGAAGCAATTTGCTCTGTCTTCCTCTCCTCTGTGTTTGCTTTAACAAGATGCATTTATAATTTGTGAGCATCACAAACCCAGGGACATACTGTGGGATGTTTGTCTGTAACTGATGTTTTTACAGACATTTTTTTGATTTTTATTAATTTTATTCTATTGAGTGTTTTGGGTGGCAAACATAGTCAACTGTCTACTTAAGTACACTTAAATGGCCTTTTGTTGCATTAATATGTGACCCTGGACCACAAAATCAGTCATAAGTGTCAATTTTTGGAAATTGAGATTTATACACCATCAAAAAGCTGAATAAATAAGCTTTCCATTGACGATAGGACAATATTTGGTCGAGATACAACTATTTGAAAATCTGGAATCTGAGGGTGCAAAAAAATCTAAATATTGAGAAAATCATCTTTAAAGTTGTCCAAATGAAGTTCTTAGCAATGCATATCACTAATCAAAAATTAAGTTTTGATATATTTACAGTAGGAAATTTACAAAATATCTTCATGGAACATGATCTTTACTTAATATCCTAATGATTTTTGGCATAAAAGAAAAAGCAAGAAATTTGACCCATACAATGTATTGTTGGCTATTGCTACAAATATACCCCAGCGACTTATGACTGCTTTTGTGCTCCAGGGTCACGTATGATATTGTATGCACAGTTTTTAATGTAATACACTTTTAAGATTTGAAGTGCACTAGATGTGCACATTCAATACAATTAAATGAACTGCTGACATGATCTACACTCAGCTGACCTCAGATCAGTATGAGTGTGTGGATGAGCGTGTGTCATCATGTGCTGTGATTGCAGATATGAGGACTTCTCAGTAAAACATTGACAAGCGAGAGGAATGTCCGCCTCATACATGTAATAGGGATTGTCCGCCTGTTGATCATAAGCCAAATTTCTTGCTTTCTGTCATGAATTGATCCTTATTCTTATGAATTCTGCGGATTTAAAGGAATAGTTCACCCAAAAAGGAAGATTTGCAGGAAACTTACTCATCCTCAGGCCATCCAAGATGTAGATGAGTTTGTTTCTTCATCAGATTTGGAGAAATGTAGCATCACTTGCTCAGCAATGGATGCTCTGCAGTGAATGGGTGCCGTCAGAATGAGAGTCCAAACAGCTGATAAAAACATCACAATAATCCACAAGTAATCCACACTTGTGAAGCGAAAAGCTGTGTGTTTGTAAGAAACAAATCCCTCATTGAGACGTTTTTAACTTCAAACTTCCAGCTAAAATATGAGTCCTATCCATAATAGTGCTTTCTCCAGTGGAAAAGTCATCTTGTCTGAATCAGGAGAGAAATATGCACAGATCAAGTGAAAATGGTCCAAAACAGTTCATAAACAAGTCTGTGGATTTTGATGTGAGAGGACAACAGTGGATGGACTATATCTCTGTAGGAAGCGTTATTATGGATTATGGACTCATATTTTAGCCAGAAGAGATGGTTTAAAGTTAAAAACACGCAGCCTTTCGCTTCACAAGATGTTAACTGATGGACTGGAGTGGTGTGGATTATTGTGATGTTTTTATCAGCTGTTCGGACTCTCATTCTGATGGCACCCATTCACTCATTGGTGAGCAAGTGATGCAATACTAAAGGACTGAGGACTTTGGAGACATTTGAGACAGACCTAAAGTTTTTGTTTTGAATGTTTTGGTATAAATGTTATTCAAACATAAACATGGAAATAAATACATATTTTTATTGGACAAATTAATTGACATTATAAAAACTAATATGTGACCTTGGACTCTCATTCTGACGGCACCCATTCACTGCAGAGCATCCATTGGTGAACAAGTGATGCAATGCTACATTTCTACAAATTTGATGAAGACACAAACTCATCTACATCTTGGATGGCCTGAGGGTGAGTACATTTTCATTTTTGGTGAACTATATCTTTAAATATGTGACTTATCGAGCAGGACAGGCATGCAAACTGTCGCAAAAACATAAACATAAACACACACAGCGCCAAACGTCACCTTCACACCAGCCTGTGACACTTGAGCAAAACTTGTTAGAGTAAGTGAGTGGATTCTGTCTGACAGCTCGCGGCGCTCGCGCGCGTGTGTGTGTTCACTGGAGTAGAAGTGAGCAGATCTCTCAGTGGCAGATCAAATCACAACATCTCTCCTCTGAGGAGCCTCGTCCCTCGCTCTCTTCTCATTCTGTCCTCTTTTCTTGGTTCTTCAGGAGAGAAGTGTGTTTCTAAGTGCCATTATGCCATGGCATCTCTGGGCGCCTCCTTTGTGCAAATCAAATTCGATGACATCCTCTTCTACGAGAACTGCGGCGGCGGGAGTTTCGGGAGCGTCTATCGCGCCCGCTGGCTCTCGCAGGACAAAGAGGTGGCGGTGAAAAAGCTTCTGAAGATTGAAAAAGAGGTGGGAGTGAGAGTCGGCCGAGCTTTTCATACACATGCTTTAATTGTCAGTGTGATAATCATTTTAATTGCCTCTCTGTGTGTCGACTCCAGTCCGGGCAGCGCGATTACGCAGAGAGACGCGCGCTCTCACAGCGGCTTTTGTGAACTGAAATTCATAGACTATGTCTTTAAGAGAAAATTGTCACGTAATTAAGTCATATTAGTTTCAGCTGAGTGCGGTGTTTGTCTTTGGGGTGAAGTCTATTTATTTTTAAGTGCTAGATTCATTGTTGTCTTTGTTCTTCGCGTAGTGATTTTAGAGCGTAATGGCTTTGGTAGCGTTTGGGATTGTATTGTATTAAAAATTAGTTTGATGGAGGAACTAACTGCCTAAAAAGTTAGTAAAATCACTACTGCTTTCAAACGATTAATCGCGATTAATCATTTAACAGCACTAAAAATCACACATAAGTAAGTATCAGCAGTGATTGAATAAAACTTAACATTCATACGATTCACTTCATATTAGTAGAGCTCTTCCAAAATTGTTTTTTTAATTTGTTCAAATCTCATGTGGTCATATTTGATGCATCATGCTTTTAGGAGAATCTGTAGCTCATACTCGAGGAGCAGAAAGACACCTTAAGTTTATTCAGAGACCCAAACTGAGCAGTTGCTGATATTTATATGATCAAATGATGAAATTCTGACAGCTTACACACACACACACACACACACATGCATGTATTTATTTAAGAAAAATATGATGTTTATATATTAAATATATTTATATATATATTATAAATATTATATGAATATAAATTGATACATGTAAATATTTTCTAAATATATACATGCATGTGTGTGTATTTATATATACATAATAAATATTCACAGTACACACACACACATTATGTAAACAAAAACGTTTATTTTGGATGCGATTAATCGCGATTAATCATTTAACAGCACTAAAAATCACACATAAGTAAGTATCAGCAGTGATTGAATAAAACTTAACATTCATACGATTCACTTCATATTAGTAGAGCTCTTCCAAAATTGTTTTTTAAATTTGTTCAAATCTCATGTGGTCATATTTGATGCATCATGCTTTTAGGAGAATCTGTAGCTCATACTCGAGGAGCAGAAAGACACCTTAAGTTTATTCAGAGACCCAAACTGAGCAGTTGCTGATATTTATATGATCAAATGATGAAATTCTGACAGCTTGTAATGTATCTCAATGATCTTTACAACAGTATAAAAGTTTGTTTGCATAAAATGCATATACATATCAGTTGTTACTCTACGTTTTCCAGTAATATGTCTTAATAAGATGCTAGTTTTATGATCAAAGCTCTGTAGTTTTTAGCATATAATGCAATACAATGATGCAAAAGCCTGTTGTATCATATACTCACTTTTGAAAATAATTTTTCTAAGATATTATGTTTGGAGCATGAAGTAAGCATAAGTTGCTTCAGTCCAGTTCATTTCTAACAATATGAAAGTTACTCTTACATGTACTTTATAAAAATCGATAAAGATTTCACAGCAAAAAAGACGAAAAAGTGAAAAAGATGAAACCTGACAGTTTTACTATTTTACTAAAAATAAGTTAAAAAGTATAAACTATCAATCAGACGACAGAAGGCATGTTGTAAATTGCATACAACAGGTTTATCGTCAAAGTTTTGATCATTGTTACGACCTCTAGGGGTTAGCCGTAACAGAAAAAGGAGATGCCAAATAAACAATTTTATTTTATTTTAACGGGAGTATCTTCAGGGGCAGACAAGGCCAAACAATAACAAAACAGACTTTTCTTTGACAACTAAATAACCTCAAACGGAAATAAAGAAAACAAATTACAGGCCAACTACCCCTACCTCCCTCAACCATAAACAAAGTGAAAAAAAAATAAATAAATAAAATGGCGTCTAACCCCCTACGTCCCTTAATTTGGCAAACTAGTATTTACAAGAATATTTACAAAGTTATTTACAAAGTTTCAGGGCGTACACAAAGCAGAATCAGAATCCAAATCGTAGTCAAGACAAGCAATGTTCAGATAAACAGGGGTTTTAGAATTTGATATTACAATAACAAACACTAAACAGATTCAATCCACTCAGAATATCTCTCTCTCCGGTACGACACTTTTTCACAACCAAACGACAACGACGACTGCGATACAAACAATAGCAGGAAACAGTTAATCAGAACGCTAGCGAAACACAACAGTACGAACTCAACGAGGCTCAAAGGCAGAAGACGAGTGTTTGGGGCGGTCCTTATATCTGGGTAAGGTGTCACCATCACCAATCACCATCTCCACCTGGTTAACAGAGGCCACACCCATCTGGAACACAAACATGTCTACACACATGAGCAGAGAGATCAAATACATACAAAAACAGTTCACAGATGCATAGACTATCTTAAGGTCATAACATCATGTTGATAATTTAGAGACATTAGAAATGACACAGTAGGCTTTATAGGGTTAAATTGTTATGCTAACAATGCCATTATTTGCAATGACGCATTTTTGTATTAAATTAGGAAGGAATGCAGATATATTGAATACTTAACATGAATATTTTCTCTTTTTGATATTGTTGTATTCTTTGTGTTGGCTGTATTTCCAGGCAGAGATTTTAAGTGTTCTCAGTCATCGAAACATCATCCAGTTTTATGGAGCAGTTCTGGAAGCACCTAACTATGGGATTGTTACAGGTCAGTCAAACATGACTCATCACTCTGAAACGCAGAATTTATTAGTGTCTGTAAGGCAGGGCTGTAGTCATATTCCGCAAACATGCTTTTTTATTATTATCCACAATCTTCTGCAATTAATTCAGCTGGAATGATTAACATACAGACTCCATTCAGACTTTTTTTGGTAGATAATTTCAGTCTGAATAATTTTCTTTTTATTTACTTTTTTCTGTTTTTCTTTTCTGTTTATTTACATTTTATTTTCTTTGCTTTTCTTTATTTACTGCTCTCTTTATCTGTCTATATTGCATCATATTAATTTCTGTCTCTGTCTAATGATTTGTTTTTGTGTTTGCTGACTTGGAAGCACTGGTACTTCCTTCGGGAAATGCTAATTTCTCAGTTTATCTCAGATTGGTTCTGTTTGCTTTTGGATTATAATAAGCAAAAAACTGTAATAAACAAATATCCTCAGTTTATTTTTCTTCAGCATGTCTGGGATGAGTTACTGGCCTCTGGTTTGTTGAATCACACAATGAAATGGTCACACTTTATAATAAAGTTCCATTTGTTAACATTAGGTTAAATTAAATGGTTAACATAAGTTACTTCTGGAGCATTTATTAATCTTATTTAATGATAATTTAAACTTTCTTAAGTTGTATCTGTTAATATTATTTAATGGACCTGAGCTAACATGGACTAACAATGAACAGTATATATATATATATACACACAAAAAACATTTTCTTATTTGTGTCAGCGTGTTTCAACCATATATAAAAATAATTATTACTGTACATATTAAAAATGTTTAGTTTTAAATAAATCATAGAATGATGAAATCCCACAACTTTTGTCCCATATATCAAGAACGAGTATCTGTCAGGTCTAGGGCTGTCAAATTGGCTGAAAAACTAAATTCGAATTTTGTACTTAAATATTATCAAAATTTGAATTATATTCAAATTTACAATGCATAATTTCAGTTAGGGTGAAGAAAAGCTTTTGGCTTCTCTTCTGAGGCCACAAGAGGGCGCATCGAGCAAAATATTACTAATGCACGTTTATTCAAAGCATAAGACAACGTGACTATCTGTGAAAAAAAGTGCATAATGTTTAAAATAATGTTTATAAACCAATTATAATTAATTAAGTTGCTTAAACAACTATAAACAAAACAGCATCATGTATGTATTCATAGTTTAATTCAAAGGGCGGAAAGCCAATCACACAGAGTACATTTTTCATAAAAAAAAACCCGCCATAAAGTCTCGATATATGTTTTTTTTTTTTCAAAGTTATACTTGCATTAATTTTACATGGCTTTCTAAACATGCGGCTCTTTTGTGCGAGATGCGAGTGCAACGCTGATAGATGTCCCTCTAGAAAATGTGCGAAATATGTGTTCTGTGTGAACGGCTTGGTTTCAGTTTTGATGTAAACAAGATCTTCTCAGCACTGATGTTCTCTTTTTCCGCAATATTTTTAATGAACAAAGCAGCAGCGTCTAGTGGCTTCAACTGGATAGGCTAACAAAAGCATTATAAAGCAACGACACTTACATCGTCATCGCATCTCGTGCGCCACTGATTAGGCTGCCTCCTTAAAATTCGAATGCAACGTTTTTGATTTCGAATGTGGAATTTTTTTTTAAATTCGACGAATATTCGAAATTCGAATTTTTATTTGACAGCCCTAGTCAGGTCTTAATGAGCTAGATTTATGTAATGCTGTTTCTTCATGACACTCAGTGCATGTCAAACTCAAAGCTCTGTCATGGTCTGGTTCTGCTGTGCTGAGTGAGTGTGACTCAAATGAATCTGCAGTGATTGTAAACGATCATAAAGCGCTGTGTAAAGAGTCTTTGGTCTGCAGTACTGAGAGACTATTGAGTCTCTCTTTATGAAAAGTAAACGTAATAAGAGCAGGTCAAGGTGCTGTTTATGACCAGCTCAGCCTTGTCAGTGAGGCTATTAATTTCCCCTCTCTCTGTGCGTATCTCTGTTTGAACCTGATAATCTGACCATTATATGATGATGTGTACTCACAATGACCTAGAGCAAAGCTAAACATACAGTATTCATGAATATTAACAGATGCAGTCTGCAGTCATACGTTAGAGGCATGCGTCTGTATTTGAGTAGTTCGCATTCTTTTGGGAACACTATGTGTGTGTGTATATATATATATATATATATTAGTGCTGTCAAACGATTAATCGCGATTAATCGCATCCAAAATAAATGTTTTTGTTTGCATAATATACTGTATGTGTGTGTTCTGTGTATATTTATTACGTATATATAAATACACACACACATACAGTATGTATTTTGAAAATATTTACATGTCTATATTTATATTCATATAATTTATATAACAAATAAATATATTTATTATATATACATAACATTTTTTTCCTGAAATATATGCATGCATGTGTGTGTATTTATATATAGACATATTAAATATACACATACATTTATTATGTAAACAAAAACTTTTATTTTTCCTCTCTCAATCAGTAGAAAATATGGTTAACACCCGGTCATGCATGAAAAAAAAATACTGTGTACAGTGAAACCGGTATAATTTTGAAAAATACCGTGATATACATTTTTGGTCATACCGCCCAGCACCAAGTGGAAGCCTAGCAGAAATGGTTACATTGTTTTGAAAATAGAATCATAAGGACTAGGGATGTGCCCCACAACAAGTTTCACTAATGTTTAAGTGGAAATTTTGTAATAGACTAGTCGACTATAGCAAGCCAATAAAATAAGCTTAATTGCTGTATGCTAGTCTGACATAGCCTACACAAAACGTTTCAGATTTCAAGATTTCGTTGACTAGTTGGCAAGTCTCGCACGTCCCTAATGAGGACAAGAACACATTCATACTTAGTGGAGACCAGTCTCCCATCCTGGTCACGCTGGTGTGTTTTTGTGATTTTAGTGGGTTTTTGGTGCTTTTTGGGTTTTAAACTAGTGAAGGCCAGCATGGCTGTTTCTCTGACCGGACTTGACCTGTAAGAGGAAACAAACTGTTTACATTCATGTTTGTGCCTCTTGAAGAAACACTGAGAATCTGACGCATGAACTGCGCTCTGACATTTGCCTTCACATACTCGTGTGAAATATGTTGCTGTGTTTGGGTTTACATTACACATGGTAGTATGACGCTGATGTGATATAATCAGTGACCAATCTTGTCTGTGCAAAGTTATATCTAATCGGTCAAATCTGCTAGAAATGGACCCGTTTGCTTTCAGTCTGTATTCATAAATCACTGTTTACATGGATCAAACGACACCAGACAAGAGTTGAGAGCATAATGTTTAACCACAAGTTTGGAAAAGGTCATAAGCACACTAACAAAAATACAAGCTTCACATTTCTGCGTTTAAATGTGGCCTCCATTGTAAGTGCACTACTCTTAAGCACATTTACTGTGTGTTTATATACACTGAGAAACATGGGTAGCAACAGATGTTGTTGTTTTAATGATTACTATTACAAAATCAAACTCTGCTCTTTCTCATTTTGTGTGTTTTCTCTTATAGGCATGCATTATCTGCACGCCGAGGCCCCGTTAACAGTCATTCACAGAGACCTCAAGTCCCGAAATGGTTTGTGGAATAATTGGTTACATGTAACGGAATTACATAATTTAATTACAAAATAAATGTAACTGGGTAATACTTTATTTTAAGGTGTCCTTGTTACACTTGTTACATGTACTTACTATTATAATAACAATAAATTATGCATAATTACATGCAAGTAACCCCTAATCCTAACCCTAACCATATATAAAGTGCACAAGTCAATTAATATTACTTAGTACTTAAATGTATAATTACACTGTAACAAGGACACCTTAAAATAAAGTGTAACTAATCAATGTCAGTTACGGAGAAAACTTGTGTAAAATTACATTTTTATAATCTTAATTCAAGTGAAGAAGGACTTTGAAAGTCTGACAGTAATCAGTGTTGAGTAGCACTACTGTAAGGTTAACTCTGCTTGCTTTAAATGTTTGAAAATTATTAACAGTTGAAAACATTTGTTAGAAATGTAGAAAAGTAATCCAATGTAATCAGTTACATTACTTTAATAAAGTAATTGAAATAGTTGCACTACTTATTACATTTTGAATAGGGTAACTTGTAATCTGTAACCTATTACATTTCCAATGTTACCTTCCCAACACTGGTAACTTTTGTAAAAAAAATAAAAAAAATAAAAAATAAAGGCCGTATGTGTATTTTTTATGCTGTATTTTCTCTGACCTGGTCAACTTGTGTTTTCATTCCAGTTGTGTTGACAGCAGATTCAGTACTCAAGGTACATGATGACTGTTCATACATAAAGATTCAGGCTGTCTTTTATTAGTTAAACATGAAAAATTAACCCTTAATCTGCTGATTAATTGGATTCTCCATGTGCTCAGATCTGTGATTTCGGGGCGTCTAAGTTTCAGTCTCACACCACCCACATGTCTCTGGTGGGCACGTTTCCCTGGATGGCCCCTGAAGTCATCCAGAGCCTCCCAGTGTCTGAGACCTGCGACACATACTCGTACGGAGTGGTGAGTGTGTGAACATCAACGACAATGCTTCTGGGTGCTCGCACTGAAAAAAGTTAAACGACTTTGTCATTTATTGATTTAAATCAAAACTCAGTCAAAACACCAGACTGTTGATGTGCAGAACACATACTACATATCTTTTAAAAATTGTATTATTATTATTTAGTGCTGTCAAATGATTAATCGCGATTAATCGCATCCAAAATAAAAGTGTTTGTTTACATAATATATGTGTGTGTGTGTGTGTGTGTGTGTGTTGTGTATATTTATTATGTATATATAAATACACACACACACACATTTTGAAAATATTTACATGTATATATTTATAATCATATAATTGATATCATATATAAATATATTTAATATATAAAAATAACATATTTTGCTTAAATATATACATGCGTATACATAATAAATATACACAGTACACACACATACATTATGTAAACAAAAACTTTTATTTTGGATGCAATTAATCGCGATTAATCATTTGACAGCACTAATATTATTATCATTATTATTTTGATAGTCCATGACATAAAATGTGATGCATATAAAAAAAGACATCTCAATAAACATTAAGGACATATATTGTCTTTACTTAGTAAGTGATCTAAATTAAACATTAATTAACATGTTTTTAGTTTGACATATTATCGCTAATTTAGCCTTTGTTTTTGGTTGTAAAAGTTGTAAAAAGCCGAAAATATTATATTGAGCCATATTTTGGCTTATGACTGACGAAAATGCAGTATATTGATTAAGTATGTTACATGGTCTTTACAATAAATAATCTTCTTACTTTGCATAAATGTTTTTTTGGTTTTAGGGAAATAAATTTTTTTATTAAATAAATCAAATTATTAAGTAAATCAAAATACCATCAACCATCAATATAATTTGAGAAAAACTAATACATTTGGCTGTAAAAATGTATCGTTTTTTTTTTTGAGTGTGTGCTTGCACTGTGTAGTCAGTTGGTCGATGCATTGGTTCTGTTGGCACAGATCTGTATCATATAGCTATGAATAACACGTGGGTTTCTTTCAGGTCCTGTGGGAGATGCTGACTCGTGAAGTTCCCTTCAAAGGTCTGGAGGGGCTGCAGGTGGCCTGGCTGGTGGTGGAGAAGAGTGAGGTAAAGGGAGTTTCTCTCGGCCGAGTGACTGATGAAGTGTCTGCAGCAGTTGTGACTGTGGTTTATGACATGTTTCATGTGTGTTTTGCAGAGGCTGACGCTTCCCAGTAGCTGCCCGGCCAGTTTCGCCTGTCTGATGAGAAGCTGCTGGCTGACAGAACCGAAAGTAAGACAACAAATTAGAGGTCTGCTACCCGACCCGAGCCCGACGGGTCCCGAAATACTTTCGGGTTTCGGGTCGGGTTCAGGTTAATGTTTAATGAATAGCTTCGGGTTCGGGTCGGGCTCGGGTTTATAGCTAAACTAAAACTATATGCAGGCTACGCTGCTTTCATAGACGCACGCACACACATTATTGCACACGACAACACAGCACGGAAACTTTTATTAGTAAAATAGCTTCGACAGGCTACTGACTCGCAACGTTATATTTCTCTGCAATGAGGGGGTAAAATCGCTGTTTTTGAAGGAACTAAGCCTCATTGCTTGTAGAGAGAGACGCGCAGACGCAGGTTCACACACGCAACTTTCATCCCTCCCCATGATATAATTAATTCAAATAAATGCGATCTTACCGCACTGCATCTCTGTGTCTGATTTAAATCAGGCCGAATGCTAACGAGCCTTAATTGACTAAAATGACCATAATTTGCACGATGGAAGAATTATTATGTTTTTTTTTCTTTTGCCTTGTGAACTGGCCGAGCCTTAATGATTCTGTTTCTTTACATGTATTTGTTTACTGACCGTTGCATGCAATCGTGAAATACAGCATTTTTTTTTTAATTGGCTATTCGTTGTGGGGGGAAAAAAAGATTTTGGGTTTGGGTTGGGTTCGGGCTCTAAATTTAACTGTGCCGCTCGGGTCGGGTCGGGTCGGGTCGGGTACGGGCCGGGTTCAGGCTTCACTTTAAAGCCCGTGCAGACCTCTACAACAAATACACACGTTTACCTTGATGTGTCAATTAGGTCACATCATAGATTATGACCACAGACTAAACCACTGTTACTAAATGTAATCAATGGAAGCAGCTAAAGTCTGCTCGAAAAGTTGCTAAATGTCACTACGATGACGCCATACGCTAATTATATACAGTTGTGTACATTCTGCCTAGTGTCAGCCTTTTACATTTGTTTGCTGACATACTGTACTTTAATACAGCCAAATTCCCGATAAAACTGTTTTTATTTACAGGGGTGCACATGCACGACCAAAATAAAAAATGTGCTGGGTAAATAAGTAATATATTAAAGCAATAAGCCCCAAGAAGCCGTGGTTTACAGTGAATTTATAACAGCTAAGGGGTGTTTGCGGAGTGCCTAAAACCCCCTTAGCTGTTATAAATTCACTGTAAACCATGGCTTCACGGGGCTTATTGCTTTTATAAAACGGTTATTCCATATACGTAGTAAGGTTTCACAAAATAAAACAGAGCAAATAAAGTGTAATGATATTAATAAAAACAGTATTCTTCCACCAAACAATGTAGTTCCTCAGAAACAGTTGTGGTTCCAACAAAGTGGTTGCCGAACAACACACAGACGTAAACAAAGGTGTATGTTTGTAGAGTAATTTACAACAGCTTCGAACGCGGCTCAACCAATCAGAGTCAAGGACCGGAACTATCCGCTTTATAATACAAATTTTAATTTGATGCACCCTTTTGGTGTTCCAACCCTGTATTAATTGATTTCTTCTGTGTAACATGAAGATTTTTAAAGAAATGTTTTGTTCGTACAGTAGAAGTCGAAGCTTACCACAAGTGATTGGTTACCAACAAAATATTGGTTCCGAATGTTTTTGAATGTTCCACAGAAGAAAGAAAGTCATTCAGGATTTGAACGACCCCTGAAGAGATAAGTCAATCAACTCTTTTTATAGTCAAATACAGTATAAATTGTATGCAAACATACAATGAACCTACGATAATTACATACATTACAAAGCATTAGCAATATGTTGCAGTATACTAATACTATACTAATACAGTAATTATGCAGTGCTTAAGTAGACTGGTATTTACTAAGCGTTAAGGTGAAATGCATTAATGCATGAATAATAGATAAGACATGCTGTTTGGTCAGGGTGTTAACTGCTGTCTTTATTAATATGTCTCTTATTCTGACATTTTTAATTCATCCAATCAAAGTTAATTCCAGGGCTTGTTTTCTCCGTCTCAGTTTCATCTCCTCTGAACACTCACACTCATTCTAGAGAGCTTCATAAATTCACGTTTGCTGGCGTTGACGTCACACACTGTACAGAACAGTATCATAGCACACAGCTGTATAGAAACAGTATCATATGGACGTTTCTACCGTTCATTAAGTTTATGACAGCTTACGAATGTTTAATTGAAAAAGCTGTTAATGTGTCACGGCCTACTGACTGTAGGGTCAACCTTACAAGCCCTTGTGAAAAAGAAGTGCAATTAGTTTAATTGAAAGTGCACTTGTAGTGTACTTCGAACCTTAAAAGTACATTTTAAAAACAGTACTTCAGATATTATAATATTAATGAAAAAAGGCCACTTAAGTGTTAAAGATGACTAACACACTCAAGTGCACTTTTGTCAATTTTGCTAATTAACTTTGTAATAATGTCTAATTAAAAGTTTTGCTTTAAAGTACATTGTTTTAATGATCTTTTGTCATTTTTTAAAGAAGTACACTTATTTTGATGTGTTGACTAACATAATAAAGCACTTGTAAAACCCTTGATTATACTTCTGAATGTAATGAGTTATTCAATATTACATTTGATCTGTTTTCATCCTTACAGATGTGTAATTACAAATATATTTAAATACGTGACATACAAGGTTTAACAGAAATTACATTAAAGCATATTTGAGTTGATCATAAAGGCTTGTCAGTACATTCAGCAGCACTTTAACCATATTTGAAAGACAATAGAAGTAATTATTACACATAAAGATGTACTTGAGTCCTACCTACAGATGGGCCATTAAATCACTCTAAAGTTCAGCAAATTGTGTTTAACAGAACGTGAAATTATGATACATTTGAACTTAATTGCAATTAATATTATTTCCATGAGAAGAACTCTTTTTAAAAGTATACTAAAGTCTGCTTCATTAGATTTTTCACTATAGGGAGAGTTTTGATGTTGTGTTGTTTATTGATCACATGAGCCAGTTATCAATTTATAAATGTTTATAGTGTTTTAGAAGAGTTGAGCGTGTCAGAAATGCTCTGTGGTTTTAATTAAGCTGTTGTGATGGTGTTGTAGGACAGGCCGCTGTTCAAACACATCTTGTCCACGCTGGAGTCCATGTGGAACGACAGTCACTTACCTGATGAGTGCAACACTTTCCTGCACAATAAAGCAGAGTGGAGGTACAGTAACTCACCAGTGATTACACAAATATCAATATCATATGCCTGCCATGTATTTTTTTGCATTACTTCGTTGCACAAAAATGCACATTTTTATTTTCAAATTAATTTTTTAAAGAAAAAAATGTTATGGTATAATATAATCTAATATAATATAAAATAATACTGTTAATTTCAATTTAATTTCAAACTACCATGCATGTGCCTTCACACATTTTGTGCACTGGTGATCTAGAAAGGTCTGGGTGTTAGATGCTATATTAAGACTGGACGTGGGCCAGAATACAGGGACAAGAGGTTCCTGTCCCTCCCTACAGCTAAACAGAGAAACAGACAGAGCCACAGAAACAGCGAAAGAAGAGAAGAGACGTGATGTGTCGAAAAGGGGAACTGAGGACATGTGAATGGGAAATTTCAACAGCATCTGTCAGAAAAGAAACAGACAAGGAAATCAATCGCACAGGGAAGTTTGGAGTTGGAGTGGAGCAAGCAGGGGGTGGGGCTAAACGAAAGGGGCAGTCCTAATGGGAGGAGTTACTTTTATAAATAACTGTAGTCTGGAGAGAATGTGCAGCTCCCTCTGGTGATGAAATACGATATTACAAATGAACAATGACTCAGGCTTGACTGCGCACACCTATAATTAAAGAAACTCCACTGGACGATTCTGCACTAAATGTTGCCGACCAGCTGAGAAAATGTCTTTCCTGTAGGAGCATTTATGCCGTCTAGAGAATAAAGACAATATTCAGCCATGATTCTTCCATAACATTTCAGAGCTTTGTTGTGAAATCAGCATAGAAAAATAACAATTTCTTCAAACCACGATGTAGCCATTTGTTAGAGCACTTGGAAACATATTTTAATAAAAAAATACATACTTGTGAGTAACAGTACAGACACCGTGTGTGTCTGAAATAGGACATTTGTATACAGGTTATGAGCATTATTAGACCCATTATTTTATGAGCATTATTAGAGCATTATTTTTTTTTTTTACCAGTTGTTGTAACATATTTGAACTCAACTTTCTTAATATTTTTTGTCTTTGAATAAGTGTTTTTTTTTCTGTTGTTCTGGCCCCAAAGTCCAGTGAAATGTATAATTATATTGCTAAAATTCTTAGTCTAATCCAAAAGTGAGAGTGTTGTCAAAACAGAAAGCAATAAGTAATGTTAAAATGTTACAAAATAATTTATTATTTAAAGTAATGATAATCAACAGTAAGTGTTTTTTTCCCTGATATTTTTGCCCTAAACGCCAGAGGAATTTTATGTTGTAAAATTGTCAATGTACTACAAAAGTGTGACTGTGGTTAAAAAATCGGAAGCAATAAAATAAAT